AAAATAATGACATGTACCCTAGAAAAGGCGATGGATTTTCTTTAACACTCTGAATAATAGCCAGTCGTACTCTGATGATACTTTTCATGATTAATGTAGAAAAAATAAGTAAGGACTGGTAAAAAATTAGGATAAAACGCTATTTTACTGTATGTTGATATGGTATCGAAATATTCTTTTACTCTGAGCAAGGGTCAACAGAGCAAGCAGATGAAATGCATGTTACGCGGTTCATGACTGTTCTAAAAATTATTGTAACGAATTGCAAGAAAGAAATGTCTTGCCTTTATATTAACTTTGAAACTATGACAATCAAAGACTGTTCTAATCAATTCTTGTCTTTCCGGGGACAAATGTGCAAGCGCTTCGTCCAGTGTTTTTGCATGTTTCAGCATGTGAACATATTCGTCGTATGTTTCCTTCATTTTAGTCTCGGCAGTTTTTTCTTCTTCTCGGTCTTCTTCGAGTTTGTCATAATCTTCTTTGTCATCTTTTTTCAACGTGTCAAAGACCGTTTTCATAACTTTCTTGAAATCAAAATCCTCTTTGAACTCCATGGTACGTTACTCAATTGTAAATTCGTACTGAAAAGCAAGATGTAAAGTCATGGTTCTATGGTAATCATGAAACTGAGATGTATTGAGTACCATTTAAATAGAAAAACATGCATAAAATAAATCTCATATTTTCTTACTTGCAGAAAATATACTTAACATCAATTCTGAATTTTAAAATTAAGTATATTTTAAAAACCCATAATCATAAATAAATATAATGGTTTAAATTATCAAAACAACATCATAATTACTGGAGAAATATGTCTGCGTTCTCTTAGAAATTGATATGTCGTAAAATAAAATTTACTTAATATATAAAACATTATATTTTCATTTTACTAATTTTAAAATGATTGCTTTTTCTCAAAGAAAAAAGTTTGTACTACTTACATGGTCGTCAAGCTGCAAGATAGAGCGTATGTATGAAGTGACAATATACGTACTTATATAACATCATGCACGTGGGTTGTTACAAAAGTTGTTTTACGTTGGCTGTTCCAAAATTTATTATAGAAAAGCTGTACTTACATATAACGATACATTTTCAAGTCAAAATTTATCATGCCGGTAGAACTAGGTCATTTCTCCACGTTAGCATTAAATATGATTTTTTTTCTAAATTCTGTGGGCATCTGGACAATTTTGGACGTTAAAAACGTTCCAATATCAAATATCAAGGTCAGTGAAATGTTGAATATTGATCAAACTATTCCTGTTACCCTTAAATTCTTGTTACAAATCATGTCCCTGTCTGACATTATGTGTTTACCAGGTTACAGTCACAACTATTTTAACTATACAGTATGAGGCTCATGTGCATTCATATAAAAAACGGATGTTGAAAATAATAACAACTTCCGCCAAAAATATTGTTTTTAATATCATGCATACTTTTTTACACATGAGCTTGTATCTTTAAGAAAGCCTTTTTATTGGTCTTCTGTCTAGTACTGACCCCTATGTGTTTAAAAGCAAATGGGTAGATTTGACCAAAAATTGCGGAAATAAACCTATACAGGAATTGGTTTACAGACACTTCAATTATTCCGAATTTTTAAATATCACTATAGGTCACACATGAACTAAATTTTCATAAAATACAACGGAAATTTGAAAAATAAATTTTTTGTTTATTTTTTCTAGAAACTACAAAGCGTAAATAAATCCTTTGCCGAAATCGTTTGATTCTAAATTAAGCCTGTCCTGTGTTAATAAAAACTCGTCCGAATGTTTGTGTATTATATGGTTTTGGAATAATAGCACAAAATAAATGAAATAAACCTGAAATAATGCTCAATAAAACTGTGCTTTTTTTCATTCCCTGCCTTTTATATCAGACAACAGGTACGGGCCCCGCAGTACGTCAAATATAACTTAAATGTTAAAAGTTTACGAGTGAAAATTATGACCTTACAATTTCTAACGATATCCTAAAGTGATAAATGACGATGACTGATATCCGAGATCCTGGCCATGTTATGACGGATATAAATTAAGCTCACGTTGCAGGAAATACTTTAAATCATTTGTCAATGTGAACGGACCTGTTTAAAAACTCGGTATTCTGTTCACATCAAGGAGATTAGTAATATTTAAACGCAAATAAACGCCTGCGAAAAGTATGTCGACCAACGAAGTTACTATAGTTAGTTAGTTAGTTAGTTAGTTAGTTAGTTAGTTAGTTAGTTAGTTAGTTATCTTTATTAGCGGCTGGCAATTACTTACACATGTACGTTATTAAGGATAGTTTATGCGACATAGAAAATTTTTAATTTCGTCATTTCATGCGATATTCAACGAATAAGGATCGGAGTGAAATTAGTAGCATAACAGACTGATTTATTTATTTGACTACAGACGGTCTTATATTGATTTGAAATCGATGTTACCGAGCAATTGAATTAGATCAAGGGACTTTACGGATATATTACTCGCATATTGTTTGATGTGAGTTATATGCATTATACATGTACAATCCTTAATACAATGCTTAATGTAACTGTAGTGTTACATTAAAAGAGCTTCAATTTTGATTTCCTGTAGTCTGTTTTATATTAAGTATAGAGTATTATATTCGTTAGCTTTAAATAACGAGTTTATTTAAAATATGAAAATCAAGATCAGCAAGGAAGGGCGACATTTAATGAACGCATAATAAACTAATATTTTCTGTTTTCTTTTGGCTTTTATCTAATCAAGAACGCAGGAAAAGACATAACCCATTATCGACAAGAGGTCGACTAATTACGTCCTGTAACCAAAAGTGGTTGGCGTCCGCGCCGAAGCGCGGCGCCCCTTTATGGAATGAAATCAGATTTTGTGAAAGGGCGACAGCAACTTCTCGAGCCTTTCAGTCGGTCATAATAAAAGCCGATCATTCCGATCGGTATGAGGGTGCTTGATTATCATTAATTAAAAAGAAATGTCGCGATATGTACAATGAATAGCGAACTGGAGGATTTCGCAATGCAAACATTTTCAAATGCAATAACCTTTTCCGTCTCTTCGGTTTTTTATTTGTCATTTTGTAGTACACAGTGGGTTATCATGGTATGTTAAAATAGAATGATGAGTTGATGACCTAAATATTCAGAAAATCTATTTATAGAGGGATGTACTCCTATCGGTAATTCCGGTCTCTCCCGTGATACTAGTGACCGGCGAAAAGTATCACACGTTTATTGTCCGGTCTCTCCCGGTTTTGGAGTAGATGTTTATTATCGTTACATGAATGAATGTTTTTTGTCACTTAGTTTGGTTACAATAATTAATAAACATAGAACAGAACAGAACAACAGATCAACTCTCAAATATATTGATTATTATTATACATAAACATACAATTCGAAAAAAAAAAAACAACAATAGCATGTTTCATTTTATCTATATGAGATAAAAATAATAAATATGTACAATAATTGTGAAAAAACGTACATTTTTATGGTTTTAATATGACACTATCAACTTTGAAACATTTTATTTAATTTGTTATTCGTGTTTAGTAAAGATGCCGAGGAATTATTCAAAATTACAAATTAGATTTTATTAATTATTTGATTGATTGATAATTTAAAAACATGATAAAGAAAAATACAAATGTACATGTACATGGTTTAAGAAGAAACAATATTATATATTGAAAGATTAACCATAATTTACTGACTTTTTCCAGTTAAGTTTTGACTTATAATCGTCGGTCAATATGACATTTGAATTCTTAAAATTTATTTTACAATTTTAATGAAAAAAGAGTAGTAAACGTAAAAAACTCAGTATTAAAATAGCACATAAAAACACAAAGAGAGAGAGAGGAAAACAATATTCATAAAATCTGTATTTTTGTTATTAAAATAAATATTACTATTATTGTATAATAAACAATAATGCTCAACATGACATGGTAATATAACCAGTGTCATATTTTTTACTAAGCGTGAACAGATACCTTAAGAGGGGGTCTTCGCTAATAGCGATTACATAATAAGGGACAATTCCACAAGTGTGGTGTTGATCATGCGTTACACATGGGTATGGATTATAAATGATTGTATACATGTATATCCGTTGCCAATCAAAGTTCATACAGAACAATGTCTTCCGTCCGTTCCTTTTGGTAAAAAAAACAATTAACCATTGAAAAGTTTATAAGAATATCTTGACATCATATGTCTACTAGTTCATCTTCACTTTCTGCATTTTTTGCTTGGACGCCCTTTGATGCTTTGCATCAATGCTTTTCTTGTAATCCTTTGGAATGTAAATCGGACAATTCCATTTAAAAAATCCTGGGTTAAAGGTAACAGAAAACAAGCAAGCCTGGTTGTTGATGGAAGCCACCCTACTTTATATGCCAATTCTTTAATTTATGGTTCTAAAATATTCTAAATTCTATTTTTTTTTTCTTTTGCTAATCCTTTATGTATTTAACTGATAAAATACATAAGTGTGTCCTGTCCTAACCATGCTTCATGAATAAAATGGTACTGTACATCCTTCAATCTGTCTAGGCAAAACCATTCATCATTTATTTAGCACAATAAAGCTGCCTGAATGGGAAACAGGTGTAGACATCATCAGACGGCAGGTATGTGCCAGCTGATCATTGCATGGCTAGATTTTGTTGTCGCTAGCAGAAAAAGTTAAATTACATGTATTCTCTGAAATCATAATTTTAACTTTTCTGAAATGTGTGATCCATAGAAACTATTTCCTAATTATTCGAAAACAAAATAAACGAATCAAATTCGAGCAACATAATATAAAGAGAGAAGCAATCAAAGGTTAAAGAACTTTATTTCATAATGAAAATCGTTAATTTAACATTCAAAAAAAAATTGTTCAGTTATGCATCATTATTATACACATAAGCTTTACAACAGCAGTAATTAGGTCCGCAATGATTTGCTCTCCACGAACAACCACCACTTCCATAGCTGT